ACGCCTTTAATCCCAGAAAGCCAGCCTTTAATCCCAGGGAGTGGTGGTAGAAAGCAGAAAGATATATAAGGCGTGAGGATCAGAAACTAGAAGATTTTGGCTGGTTAAGCATTTGGCTGGTTAAGCATTTGGCTGGTTAAGATTTTGGCTGGTTAAGCTTCAGGCTTTCGAGCAGCACAGTTCAGCTGAGATTCATTCTGGATGAGGACACAGAAGCTTCCAATCTGAGGAAACAAGACCAGCTGAGGATCCAGTGAGGTGAGATAGCTGTGGCTTGTTCTGTCTCTCTGACCTTCCAGTATTCACCCCAATAACCGGCCTCGGGTTTGATTTTATTAATAAGAACTTTTAAGATTCCTGCTACAAATATTAATTGGAGTTTCTGGGTTTTGTTTGTTTGTTTATCAAAACAAGGTTTCTCTGTAGTTTTGGTGCCTGTCCTGGATCTCGCTCTGTAGACCAGGCTGGCCTCGAACTCACAGATATCCACCTGGCTCTGCCTCCCAAATGCTGGGATTAAAGGTGAGGGCCACCACTGCCTGGCTATCCACTGTTATATAACAGATGACCCCAAAACCTTACAAAATAAGCATTTTGAGCAGGGCAGTGGTGGCACATGCCTTTAATCCTAGCACTTGGGAGGCAGAAGCAGGTGGATCTCTGTGAGTTCAATGCCAGCCTGGTCTACAAAGCGAGATCCAGGACAGACACCAAAACTACACAGAGAGACCCTGTCTCAGAAACAAAAAACAAACAATAAGCATTTTGTTATTTTGCAATGTGCCTATGAGTCAGGAATCTGAGAGCGGCTTCGCTGGGTAGTCCTGGCTCCGAGCATCTTGTGAGCTGTAGTAAATCTGTCAGGCAGAACTGCAGTCAACTGAAGGTTTTATGGAGCGGAAAGATCAGCTTCCAAGATGGCTCATTCGAGGTGGCAGACTCATGCTGCTCCTGTGGAGGTGGCCCCAGATCACCACATGCACTCCCCAAAGGACAGCTCCAGAGTTCCTGTGATGCAGCAGTGGCGTCCCTAAAGCAAGTCCTCCAAAACAGCAAGAAGGAAGCCAGGTGTGGTGGCACACACCTGTGATTAAGCTTTGGGAGATGAAGGCAGGAGGATCAGGCTAGCCCTTCAGTCATATCAGATCTTGTCTCACAAAGACCTAGGCTGAGGAGTTACATGTTGTCATCACCCCGGAATCCTGTTAGCTGTAGAGTTCAACATGGGAAGAAGTGATGCAAGCTTATGAATACCAGGGGGCAGGAATCCCTGGGACCCATGGTGAAGACTGAGTATTCAGGCCAAGTCCCTCATTTCATATCCACATTCAAGTTCTGCCGAACCAGTGCTACTACTTTCACTTAATACAGACCCTTTCATACAGTTCCTCATGTCGTGGTTATCCAACCATAAAATTATTTTCACTACTACTTCATAACTGTAGTTTTGCTACTGTTATGAATCGTAATGTAAATATCTGTGTTTTCCAGTGGTCTTAGGTAACTCGTGTGAAAGGGTAGTTCCAATTCCCTGAAGGGGTCATGACCCACAGATTGAGAGCCACTGACTTGAGAGATGAAATTCTATAGTTTGTCCAAGATCACATAGCTGAATGAGGTGGAGTTCTCATTCAAGCCTGTCTCATCAGGATCTTGTGCATTTTCCATTGTACTATGCAGCTTTTCAATTAGCCAGTCCTGTGGGTGTCATGGTTTCAAGGAAATCAACTTGAGAACATGTTGACTTTAATAAAGCCTTGGTGTCTTCCAGCAGGCCTGATGCCAGTACAGCAGCAAGGATTTCCTATGGTCTCTGTCATGCAGCCCAGTATGCAAGGCATGATGGGAATGAATTACAGCTCTCAAATGTCCCAAGGACCCATTGCAATGCAGGTACTTGCTTTTTATTGACTGTTTATAAAGTTCTTGTTTGTTGTTGGGCATCTGCATGTCAAGAGCTATGGCTTTAAGAGCTAGATGTTATATTTAGAAGTAGCTTGAATTTGGTTTTATCTATCTATCTATCTATTTTTTTTTCAAGACAGGGTATGTGTCTATGTATCCCTGGCTATCCTGTAACTTACTCTGTAGACCAGGCTGGCCTTGAACTCACAGAGATCTGCCGGCCTCTGCCTCCCAAGTGCTAGAATTAAAGTTGTGTGCCACCACTGCCTGGCATTATGGAGTTTTATTATATCTGGGTTTAGGAGATCCCCTTTGCCCTGGACTCCCAAGTAAGTGAAATTGTAGGTGTATGCCACAGTGCAGTTCAAACTCAAAGACTCACAAATGCAGGTGACTGTCTCAGTTACTTTTCTATTGCTGTGTTAAAACACCATGATGAAGGCAACTTGTAAAAGAAAGAGTTTATTAGGGGCTTACAGCTTCAGAGGGTAAATCCATGACCGTCATGGTGGGGGGCATGGCAGCAGGCAGGCAGGCAGGTGTGGCACGGGAGCAGTAGCTACAGGTCACGTCCTCATCCACAAATGAGGGGCAAAGAAAAAGCTAACTGCAAACAGTGCTGGGTCCTGAAGAATCAAAGCCTGTCCCTATGACACACCTCCTCCAACAAGGCCACGCCTCCTAATCCTTCCCAGATAGTTCCACCAACTGGGGACTAAGCATTCAAATATATGAGTCTATGGGGGCCATTCTCATTCAAACCACCATAGTAACTGTTCAGAATAATTATTAGTTATTATAATTAGTAAAAGAGACAATGGAGCTATATGTTCTTCATTTCTTTCTGGAACTGGGAACTCAAAATTATAAAAAGTGACACAGGGCCGGGCGGTGGTGGCACACGCCTTTAATCCCAGCACTCGGGAGGCAGAGGCAGGCGGATCTTTGTGAGTTCGAGGCCAGCCTGGGCTATCAAGTGAGTTCCAGGAAAGGCGCAAAGCTACACAGAGAAACCCTGTATCGAAAAACCAAAAAAAAAAAAAAAGTGACACAGTAGTAACAATTTCAGAACAGAAAAATATACTAACCAAAAGAAGAATTCTATGGTTAGTTTAACAGGAGATTAGAATGGCTAAAGAATCAGTGAACTGGAGAGATCTGAAGAAACTATTTAGGATGAAGATAAAATAAAAAGAGAAATGTGAGAGGAGCTGGGGAGCTGGCTTAGCAATGAAAGTGCTTGATGGCAAGAATGAGGGTGGCATTTGGACCTCAGAAGCTCATTTAAATGTCTGGTGGGCATGGTGCCCTACATATAAATCTGGGCCTAGGTGGTGGAGACAGAGGATCCCCAGAGCAAGCCGGCTAGCAAAACTAGCTATATCAGTGAGTACTGGGTTTGAATGAGAGACCATGCCTCAATAAATAAAGTGGAAGAGCAATTGCGGATTATTCTGGGCATCAACCTGTGGCCTCCACATGTATGCTCATCCAGGTACAATAGTGCGCGCGCGCGCGCACACACACACACACACACACACACACACACACACACACAGAGAGAGAGAGAGAGAGAGAGAGAGAGAGAGAGAGATTGAGGGAATAATAAAATAAAATTTAAAAAGAAATTGACAAGAGAATTGAGACTTCTGTAAGACCATCTTAATGTTGATCTTTGGAATCTGATCTGAGGAGGAAGAGAAGTGGGAGAAGAGAGGCCTTAATGAAGGTGGTAGGCAGTAGGAAAGCGATGAAGTTGACAGAATTGGGGGTTACTAAGAAGAAAGTGACGGGTTTAGATGAGCTGAAAGGGTGGGAGGTGGAAGCAAGTGTCGGGATGCTTAAAGTTTAAGAAGGCAGGCTTGTTTTTGCTGATGGACTAATGATGTGACAACGGAATGGGAAAATGGAACTGGGAGGTTGGGTGTGGTTGTGGTGCTGTGGTGAGGAAGTCAAAGATCAGACTTGAAAGGCACAGCATTGGATAAGTCATCCGTGGGACTGTTGACTTTACCAACGCTACGCCAGGCGGTGGTGGTGGTGGTGGCGGCGGCGGCGGCGGCGGCGGCGGCGGCGGCACACGCCTTTAATCTCAGCACTCAGGAGGCAGAGCCAAGCGGATCTCTGTGAGTTCGAGGCCAGCCTGGGCTACAGAGTGAGTTCCAGGAAAGGCGCAAAGCTACACAGAGAAACGCTGTCTTGAAAAAGAAAAAAGAAAAAAAAAAAAGACTTTACCAATGCTTTATAGGTAGAATGGACAAAAAATGAATTTGAACTCTTCAGTTGAAAATTAAAGGCCTGTGAAAGGGGAGGAGAAGAGGGAGAGGAGAGATCCTCAGTTTAAGCATCCTGAGTCTACCCTGGACAACAAAGCAAGACCCCTGTCTCAATAAAGAAACAGAAAAGAGGAAGTTAAGGGTTGGTAGACCATGTGAACAAGATGCAGTAGTGAATGGGGAGTTTGTTACCCAAACCAGGAAACTATTCAGGTTTTTTAGAAAAGAGCTAATGTTTTAAAGGGACAGGTGCTCCCCACTTCCAAGATAGTAGAAGCAGTGGTCTCCAGTGGGCTTCAGGAGCATCCATGGTTCAGAAGGGAAGCTGTCGGGAGAAACTTCTACTCAGGGAAAATTGCTGTTTAATGTTAGAGTTTGTGAATGAGTATTGCCCTGAGGGATTCTTATTTCTGGATTCTTCAGCTAAATGTGTATTATTGTATTGGTGTGTAATTTACTATTGATTAAATCGATGTTATTTTTTGTAAAAGTTTAGGTTATTACAGCTTGATATGAATATCAAATTATTGATCTTTTGTTAGATTTTATGTATTTTATTTTATGTTTATGAATGTTTTGCCTTCCTTTATATGTATTACCATGTGTGCACCTGGAGCCAGTCAAGGTCAGAAGAATACATTCAATTCCCTAGAATGGATTTACAGGTGGTTCAAGAGACCATGTGGGTGTTGGAAATCAAACCCCGTCCTCTGTAAGAGTAACAAGTGCTTATAACCACTGAACCTTCTCATCACCTCCAAATTTTTATTACCTTTTGGGAGGGGCGGGGTTCAAGACAGGGTTTCTCTGTGTAACAGCCCCTGACTGCCCCGGAACTCACTCTGTAGACCAGGCTGGCCTCAAACTCACAGAGATCCACCTGCCTCTGCCCCCTGAGTGCTGGGATTAAAGGCGTGCGCCACCACTGCTCAGCTCAGCCTATGCTTTTTAATTTTCCACTAGAATGTATCTTATATCTTACTAATAAAAATACTATGAAATAATTTTGCAAGGTTTTTAAAAATGAAAAAGAATACCCATATATATATTATTTAATCTGTTGCCTGTTGTTTCTTCTAGGCAGGAATACCGATGGGACCAATGCCAGCAGCGGGCATGCCTTTCCTGGGGCAGCCACCATTCCTGGGCATGCGTCCTCCAGGCCCACAGTACACTCCAGACATGCAGAAGCAGTTTGCTGAAGAGCAACAGTAAGAGCCGCCCAGGATCCAGGGATAACAGGGTTACACAGGCCCAGGATCCAGGGATAACAGGGTTACACAGGCCCAGGATCCAGGGATAACAGGGTTACACAGGCCCAGGATCCAGGGATAAACAGGGTTACACAGGCCCAGGATCCAGGGATAAACAGGGTTACACAGTTGTAGCTATTCAACAGATTATTAAATGTTCTGTAGTTTGAAGCTGAAAGAGATACATGGTCTTTAGGATGATTTAAAAACCGGTTGTTTGTTGATTTAGAGACCAGGGCCCTTCAAATACTTTTAAAAGTAAGAAATTTAGAGCCAGCTGAGTGGTGTGGCACTTACCTGTAAGCCCAGCTCTTGGGAAGCTGAGGTGGGAGAAGTGTGAATTTACCAGGATGGCAATATAGCAAGAGTATCTCAGACAAAACAAAACAAAAACACAGAATAAAATGCGTTCAGTTCCAAGAAGGGACTGAAATGAAGCGGTCTGTCAGCACAAAGTTACCAACAAACTTGCTTGTCTGGCAGCCCCACCCTCACACCCCCTCCTCAGAGCATGGCTCTTGCTCCTGGAGACACTGCCTTCCTCCCCGAGACGATTCCCTACATTTTTAGTTGGCTTTTGTCTTTTTCGTTGTTTTGATTTCTGGAGTCAGAGTAACAACAAAGGCCCAGGGTGGTCTTGAATTTTCAGTCTTTGTGCCCAGGCCTCCCAAATGCTGGGATTATAGGTTTTTGCTTCTACACTCAGCTTCCTGAATTGGCTGGAGTTGCTGCTGCTGCTGCTGCTGCTGCTGCTGCTGCTGCTGCTGCTGCTGCTGCTGCTGCTGTTTCTGTTTGATGGTACAGCACTAGCTGCTAGGCAAGTGCTGAACCACAGAGCTGCCTCCAGCCTGCATTTTATTTTCTTATATGCAGAACAAAGTGTTCTTTTATGATCATCTGCCTCCCTGGTATTGGTGACTGCTGCTGGAAGTCCAGGGGTGGAGAAAGGGGTTCATGTTCTCCGCCGATTAAAGAATTAAAAGCAGGAAGGAAACAATACTGGAGATCTATGGAGTCCCAACAGAGCTACCTTGAGGATCGGGCTCCCCTCTTGGGGTTATTAGTCTCATTGATAATGCAGTTTAAGAATGGACACAAAGGGAATTTCAAGGACAAAGAACAGACTCAGACAGAAGCTTATGGACAAAGACAGTTTATTAGAATTTGAGGGGAAAACTGCAGGGCAGGCAAGCTGTAACTCTCACAGCTGCCTGAGGCAGAGGATGGAGAGCATAAGATGATGTGGAGGTCGGCATGTGGCAGGATAGGGAACCTAGGAAACAGGGTGAGGAAGCCCAAAGCAGTAGGAGTTGAAGAGCACACTTAGGCTCTGGCCAGCATCCGGAAACAAAACAGAAAAGAAGAAAAAGAAACAATTTCCCACATGATCATCTCCCTAGATGCTGAAAAAGCCTTTGACAAAATCCAACACCCCTTCATGATAAAGGTCTTAGAAAGAATAGGAATACA